ATTTATATAATTTATTTTTCAAAATAATGCTTTTGTAATAACTGATAATACAATCTCCAAAAGCTACACAGTAATTGCCATCTATTTGTAGTGACAAATAGCATGATTTGAAGTTAAGAGGGCTGTGGGTTCAAACTCCACAACCGTCACTACTACCTTTTATTGCAAGCCAAGCAATGTCTGATGAGTCAACACTTTGTATCAGACAGGTTGACATGGCTGTCAGAGTACTAATGAGCCCAATAAATAGGAACAAAGCGCGGGGCACATGTAGGACAGTGTTAACAAGAGCCACAAATGCAAAATTCATGCCTATGGGGGGCCACCAGAATTGTGATATGTTGAGAGGCAACTTACCCTAGAAGATGTGTCCGTAGGCCATCTTTTGGAGTACATGGATTGAACACAACAATTTGATTTTGAGAAGCATATATGCAGATTGTTGAACAAATTATGAGGGCATCAAGTATTTCATTGGCATATGGGAAGATGGGACCACAACCTTGAGTAAATATTTAGCTTCTCAAAGAAGGACCCAAAAAATCAAACCAACCTAATAGAACATGAATGCCTAGGGTCCAGTGCAATCCACTAAATGGCATCTTTAAATTCAATTTTGACACACATTACCTAGGGAATCAAGGATCATGTCGATAAGTGACTTAATAAACAACCACTGGGACTCTCATAGGGTTTGCAATAATGTGATGTTGAAGGCAAAGCCTAGCTAAATGGTCCTAAAGCTTTACTATTTCTAGGGACCATAATTCCAGAAGACAACTCAGTTCCCATATTAGATGGGAGACTTGTTCCATACATAAGGTTATGTTCCTTGATTGCATGTTATGCAACCTGGAGTATTAACTATCACAAAAGGAAATATTTGACCAAAAAAAAATTGACAGACTTTAAATAGAAAGAACCGTGCCTTAAAACAATTAAAGAAATATAAAATAAAAGAATTCCAGATAAAAGAAACAGTGTATTACACATATCAAAAATAAAATATAGAAAATGATGAAACAAACACCATAAGAGGTGCATGCAGTGTTTAAACCATAGATCAGGCCCCAAATCCAATCCCTTCTAGACAGATTCGTATTGGTGATTCTAATTTGGGTAACACTATTCGAGGCACTATTCTGGGCGATCCAGGGCCTACTCATTTGGATTTAGGACTTCCTCAGCCTCTAATCCTCATAAACTGTAGATTTAATAATTCTTAGATTGGGTTCTCATCTCCCAATTTCAGAACCACTCTCTTAGCTATATTCGCGAGTTTGGTTTCTTATGACTCATGACTCATGGAGTTATATGTTTGCCCAAACTTCGAACCACTAAGGTCAAACCAAGTTACTCATCTTGATCAGGGTTTATACACAATCCGAGGAGTCCTTATTTTATGCGGCCATTCCTATCTCCAATATAAAACCCCACATGTATTCATGTAGCCCCACATCGATCTCGCATATGCCAATTCCATACAGACAGAACACTCATGACTGACCCACTAAGGAGCTCTCCAAGTCTTTAATAGACCATGTGAGTGTTGGGTTTTGTGGCCTTTAAAGGCCTATAGAGTTTGTAAATATGATAGTTTATACTAAAAAATGCACTTCAATGGGAGTGTGTGTGTTGATTAACCAAGGGTTAGGCGCTTTATGGCTTTGGTCATGTCCAAAACCCTTACCCCTGGGCATGGGCATGTGGTACAACCAAGAAGGGTTTGCAGTAAGTCATCCCTTATTGACGTCGGAGAGATGCCCAAGAATCATGTTTGTAAACCAAGAGAAATATGTAGTCTCCTGTGTGTGCGGTTGTAGGCCCGTGAGAGCAAGGGCCAAAGCCTGAACAAACTTCCACACAACATGTACACATGACAGCCGAATTACTAGGAAGCAGCCTTATAGAACACATATAAATGTACATAGAGAAAACTCATTTTGCATTGTAGTGACAAGTTCAAGACTTGCCCTTAAAAGAGGAAATTGAAATCCACATTCCAGGATTATGATCCCACTGTTTATTGTCCAATTTGACAAGTCAATCCTGAGCCCCTGAAATGAGAATGTGGGTTATGGGTCTTTGTTGGGTTGGAAAAGATAATAGTAGTGGATCATGGTATCTGGGGCGAGTGGAGTGACCTTATTGTCACTAATTTTGACTCATTGGTATAAGTTCACTCTTATTTCTATAATTTTAAAATATTTTTTCAAAAATTTAAAATATTATTCCTACTGTAATTTTCATCAAAAGGGTAATATATGAAAATTTCAAAACTTGAAATAAACATGTGGGACCAAGGATCTAGGCTCACATGAGTGTGTGTGTGTGTGTTTGTTTTTTTATGTGTGGGGCCCATGTGCCCCCGCCCTCCCTCCCCCCCCCTAGAGGGCCACACCATGTTTTTAGGTAAAAGGGGCACGCCCCACTTTCTCGTTTTAAATTTGATTTTAAATTAGTTAAAGATAAGATAGGAAATATTTTTAATTTTAAATAAAATTTGATTTCCTATTCTTATTGGAGTTTTGAAATATAGATTACCCTTGATTTCTTATAGATTACAGAGATCTATATAATGCTAAGTTTGATTATATTTTAAATTTAAATAGGAGTTGGCCTTGGGTCAAAAGCCAAAGGGATAAGGTTATTTCCACCCAAAATTATGATGGCTGATTTATGGGATGGATGGAACTGATTAAATCTCTCTCACCTTAAAGATTTCCTAAATTTTCTTAAAAGGTCTTAGTTAGAAATTAGATAAGGCATACCTAACAGAAACCTATTCAAAATAGAAAGTAGATATTGTTTCTATTTAAACAAGATTTGAGCCCCCTCTCTCATTAGATCTAGATTTCTCTATCATGCTCTAATATTCCTTCTCTCTCATGTGACAAAAAAATTCTCTCCCTCTCTCTCACGCCACCCTCTCCTCCTATTTGCTTTCACATCACCCATCTCCTCATATTTTCTAACACGCCACTCTCTCTCTTACTCTTAGTGTAAGTTCAATTAAAAAAATATAAGAGAAAAGATGAGACATGAAACCCTAAGTGGGATTTGCTGTATTTTGAAGAAAGAAGGGAGAAGCTCAGCCTAGAGAGATGAAATCACAAGTTCAGCCCTATTTCTTCTCATAGGCTTTCCATAAACCCTAGTTGATTTTGAGCTCTCTAAAAACTCTAGATAAAGAAGTATTGCCTACAAAGCTTCCCTATCACAGAATTTGCAGTAACACCTACAAGAGTAAAAGTGCACCATCGGTCAAAAAATCAATTGTGGGG